CCCCTCCCCGCCCCGGCTTGTGTTCCTGCTCTCACTATCTCTCTCTCTCTCTGTCAGATAAATAAATAAAATCTTTAAAAAAAAAAATAAAGACAAGAAAACTGAAGTGCATTAACTTTTTGCACTTTGCTTATTGCCAAAAGCCAAAGCGGAAACAACAGCGGGATTCGGTCCTAGGATTCTCTCACTCTGAGCGTTGTTTCTATCGCCACACTGGCCGTCCTATGAGACTGCTGTACAAATGCTAAGTGTCCCCTGAGTGGTTTTGAATTAGTAAAATCAGGCCTCGTTATCAATAACTTTAAAGTAATATAGGAGCTTCCCAAACCATTTTAAAATGAAGACATTTTTGCCAACCATTTCAGAACCATAAATCTCTTAAAACATTGTGGCAAAGGAAAGGATTAAGAAACAATCAATTTAGAAGATAAGTCTATTTCTTTTTGTCTCCACCCCTACTCTTTTCCCCATTTCCCATAGATTTCATCAAAGCGGTCAGGCAATTAGTGGTAATCTAGGTTTTTTTTTTTTTCATTTTACTTCCTTCTCTTACTTTCTTAAAAATAAAAGAAACAGAATGAAAATGAAGGTCCTATTATAAGCACGGATCATCCTCACTTTCACTGCTAACATTTTTGAAAGAAAAATGTTTTCATTTTATCATATTTCTCAATTTGTCCCAACCAGTTAATTAAATACTTATTAAAACATTTAGTACTCTCTTGAATCAAAGGTCTTCCAGGATAAGATGCCACTCCATTTAAATAAAAGATGAAGGATGCTGAAACAGAAGACGCCTTTAACCAGCAGACCCATAAATAAGAAAGGAGCTGGCATTATGCAGTCCTGGCCCTGGCACTCGTACTGGGCTTGGCCAGAGGTTCTTAACCTGCGGGCCAAGCACTCGGTGGTGGTGCACATCTAGAAACCCCTTGAGATGTTAGCAAATTTTGCATAAACCTTTTTCTGCACACACTTCAAAGGAGCCTGTGATATCTGTAAGCTAAGCTGTTTCAAGGCCTCATTGCTAAAGCTAATTGCCACATTTTATTCCTTTGTATCATCTTAAATGTCATTATAATATCAAGGATATAATGTTTGTTGGTTGATTAAGTGAGAACCAGAAGACCCATGTTGTTGAAGATGTCATCTTGTCATCAAAAGGGTCAGATTTCTAAAAGTGAGACTCCATGATATAATCAGAAGAATTTACCTGCCGAGGAGGGTCCAGAGCCGGGTTCTTGTCCTTGTCCCTCTGTGGAATGATCCTGTGTGGGTTACTCCTCTTCTCTGGGTTGCTGTTTCTTCATCTGTGAAATAAAGATTTGAATTAACCCAAAGTTGCCTTCAAACTTCAAAACAATTCTGTTCCATGTAAAAGATTATGCAATCTCTTAAATGGATATCTCCCACAAAATTCTAGAATGTATTACAAAAACAAGGTATGACAAGCTAGCCATATTTTTAAAATTGTTTTCAGAGAAAGTTACAGTTTGAAAACATGCCATTGGCTAGTCACTTCCGAATGTCCCTGGGGGACTATGAGGTGCCACGTTACCGTCTATAGCAGGGTTGAGGGGACGCCCCAAGTGGGACAGAGACAAGGCTAAGGGTCTTGCACCTCATTTCTATCAGAACAGCCAGCTTTTAATCTGCTTTATATGGTGGGTTTTACGTGAGATGTTGTTTGTAGAAAATGTTGTGTTTTTTTTGAAAATTTTTTTGATTTTAATTAGTCTCTTTTGATATCCATGGTGGGGAGAAAAAGGAAAAAGAGATTAGGTTAATCTTTTTTTAATCTGTTTAAAAATCTGTTTTTGAAAAGGCACTGGAAACAGTCAGAAGCCCTAAGGCTTTTTCCTATTTTGACATTTATTAGCTGTGTCACATTAGGCAAGTCAGATAGTCTTTCTGAATTTTTGTCCTCACATATAATGATAATAGTATCTGATTAACAGGGTGGTTGTAAGAATCAAATGAAATGTTTGTGCAAGTGCTTCGTAATTGGTAAAGCATCATCAAGTCAGGGAGTGGGTCTTTAGTGGTGAGGCCCACAGGTCTGCATTTTGTCCTGACCATGGTAGCATTTTTGCCCATCTGAATTAAATCATAGAAATTATGCATGATCAAATTTACAGATAAGCCCAAGTTATGGGGTGGAGTTATAAAAGACTTAGCAGGTTACAGGGTTCCAAGTATGGTAAAACTTAGGAGGAAATATAAAATCTTGTTCTTCAATTCAAAAAGTTAACTGTCCAAGGGTCAGATGGGAGAAAATGTGGCCAATGATCAGTTCAAGTAAAAAAGACTAAAGAATTTAATTTGACTTCAAGTTCATTATGAGCCGTTAGTGTTGTGAAATGTTGGGCAAATAAATAAGGGATGTAATTGTCTCAGTCCATTTGGGCTGCTATAACAGAATACCACAAACTGGGTAGCTTATAAGCAATAGTAATTTATTTCTTGCAGTTCTGGAGACTAAGAAGTCCAAGATCAAGGTGACAGCATCACTATCATTCTGATGAAGGCCCTCTTCCTGGCTCATAGCCGGCACCCTCTACTGTGTCTTCGCAGGGTGGAAGGGGCAAGAGATCGCTTTGGAGCCTCTTTATAAGAACACTAATCCCATTCATAGGGGGATCCATCTTCATCACCTAAGCACCTCCTGAAGACCCCCACCTCTTTCTAATCCCTTTGGGGGCTCAGATTCAACATGGATTTTGGGAGGATGCATTCAGACCACAGTGCCAGTATTCTTCTGTATTTATAGGAGTACCATGCCACAGGTGACAAAAGGGGACTACAGCCCTTGGCTTTGATTAGCATCCTTCTTCCAGCTGTTAAAAACAGTTACTCCAGCAGGTTGAGAGCACATCCAAAGGAAGCTAAATAGAGAAAAGTCTGGAAGGTTTTCTTTTTTTTTTTTTTAATTAACATATAATGTATTATTTGTCTCAGAAGTACAGGTCTGTGATTCATCCGTCTTACACAATTCACAGCGCTCACCATAGCACATACCCTCCCCAATGTCCATCACCCAGCCACCCCATCCCTCCCACCCCCCTCCACTCCAGCAACCCTCAGTTTGTTTCCTGAGATGAAGAGTCTCTTATGGTTTGTCTCCCAAGTCTGGAAGGTTTTCAAGGGCAATGTTGAGAGAAGATTTGAGGAGAGAAACGTGTCGTGGAGGTCTTAAAAGATCTGAAAGCTTTTAAATGATGTTACAGGCAGTCATGGAGGTGAAGGTTTGGAATTTATTGTTTTCAGAGGTGAATCTCAGGGAAAACTTTAAATAATAAGAGCTACCTAAAGGGAAAGCGATTGCCTAGTTTTAGTAGTGAGATTTCCATTAGGGAAACTGTTCAAGCAGAGACTGGACCACACCTCCCGAGGGTTGCTATCAATCAGGAGGAAGGCTTTAAGAAGAAATTACTAAGATTTCATCAAATCTGAGATCCTATTTCTACAACAGAATTCAATATCTCACTGGAGAATGATTCGCTTCATTAAATTTCGGGGGGCTGTAATAAAAGTGTGGATTTTGAAATTGGCAAACTGGAGTGATATTCAGGATGCTGTTTAACCTCTGGGGACATCAGTTATGTGGTCAGTGACAGAGATGATTATTTCTGTGTCGCTGTAAAGATGATACAGCACAACATTGGTGAAGGATGCTTAATGGTGCCTGGTCCTAGTAAAGGGCTCAGAGAGTAAAGTTTATCACAATTATATTTTGTTCCTCTTATTTTCTACATGCATTTTATTTCTTCTCCTAAGAGATTCCTTTCAGGTGACTACTGAACCCTTTAGAGACATATGGTGTAAGTGGGTAAAATGGTGACTTCCGTGAGCCTAGGAGAAAGCATTCACTCCAAAGGTCATAGGGGTACCATATCACCTCTTTTGTGTTTGCATCAAATGTTTGTTTTCTCCTAAATGGAGGAAACCTGTGGAACAACTTCTTTGTCCTAAATTATAACCTGATTTTCCTGCCCATCAAAACCAGAACTAGGCCAACCTGATTGATTTTTTTTCTTTGCTGAAAATTATAGGCAATAAAACATCTTATTAAAAATTTAAGGACCAAGATCTCCCTTGTGGAGTAGAGGAAGTATCTAGAGCCTTGAGGAATAAAAAGAGTTGGTAACTGAAGAATTGGGGTCAGTTAGGTCTTCTTTCTAGGCCTAGTTTTTTTCCATCAATAGAGTGATCCTAAGCTAATTTTACTTAAAAATGACTTCCCAGTTGATGACTTAGTAAAGGAGAAGCAGTTTACTATTCTTAGGGGAAGACGAAAGCCATGAGACTCCCCTGTGGTTGGGAGAGAGACCATGTGAATTCTGTTTGCCAGAAGCAGAGGGAAGAAGTGAGGATGCTGGGTTTCCATATGTTGGTCACAGGTTGGCGTTTGGTCTCATTCAGAAGGTGATAAGGAGTTGTCTGTGAGGAGGCGCTATGATAATTCTGACCAAAGGTCTCACACAAAATGAGGATTATTCAATTTTCAAAAGAAATGAAAAGGATACTATAACACTTTTAGGTTTAGATAAGACTCCACTTCAAATATTTTTTTTTCCACTTCTCTTTCTTCTGCATCAGTGAACACTTATTGATGCCTAAGGGGCGTGACATTTTATGAGGCACGAGTGTGTTCCAGAATGGGGATGAGCTGGTACTTGGGCTATCTACAGGGGAGGGTGAGAGCACTAGAGGCTATTATTGCTCCAGAAAAGTTGCTTTGGACATGCCATCTTGAGCTTGTTTCCTTCTTTCTTTTTCTAGTCTGTTTAATTTTCTTGTTCAATATCCTACTTATATTAATTCCCAAATTCTCTTTTTAATCTTTTTGGAGAGCTTGAACTCAAAATAACACCTTTAGCTTGGAATTCCTAACTGACATCCTTTGATCTTACAATGCAGCTGAAAGAGCAGAGATGCAATATTTGAATAGCAAACTGTCCCCCAGGAAATTGCCATTCTATATTGGTAATAATAGCAGATAGTATTTATTGAACAACTTTTGTCCCAGAACTTTGCTAACCACTTTGTATGTTTACCTTATGTAGTTCACTTAATAACACTATAGTGGAGGCACTATTTCTATAACCATTTCACAAATAAGGAAACTGACACATTGGGGAATTTATTTTATTTTATTTATTTTTTAAAGATTATTTGAGAGAGCGCGAGAGAGAGAGAATGCAAGCCAGTGGGTGGGGGGAACAGAGAGAGAGGGAGAAGCAGACTCCCCGCTGAATGTGGAGCCCAAGGCAGGGCTTGATCCCAGGACCCTGAGATCATGACCTGAGGCAAAATCACTGGACACTCAACTGACTGAGCTACCCAGGCGCCCCTGACATTGGGAATTTAAAAGCTGACCCAGAGTGTCACAACTAATGTAGAGTACACAACTCTTAACCACTCTGCCAGACTGCCTATCTATGCAAAGAGCTTTGATCTTAACCTGGCAAATCATTAATCTACCCACCCATCCATCCACTCAAATATTCATCAAACATGTGCTAGAGAGGGGCGCCTGGGAGTCTACTTGAGATTCTCTCCCTCCCTTTCCCTCTGACCCCACCCCATGCTCCTCTCTCTCTCTCTCTCTCTTTCTCTCTCAAATAAATAAAGAAATCCTTAATTTAAAAAAATGTACTAGAGATGTAAACTATGACTAAGACTGATGTGGGCACTCTCCTCTAGCCACTTTCTAGACGGGAGAAAGGACAGTTACATTAGCATCCCCACACAGTGTGACAGCACTATGACAGGGAAGGGGGCAGGGAAGGAGGCTCGAACCCAGTCTGGAAGGCGGTGTCAGGACAGGCAGGTGGAAAAGTTCTTATCCTCATCACTGTGTGCTTCAACTTTTGTAGCAAAAGGCATATAATGTAACCTCTACAAAGAAAGGTCTTTGAAACAAGGTCTTCCTCTATGTTGTTCCCCCAGCACCTGGCACATAGTGACTGCTCAATTAACATCTGTAGAATAAATGAATTAGAATTCTAATACTCCATAATAACCCCATTATAACAGGGAATCTTTTGACTTATTTCTAACTGGACTCTGAACATGCTTAAATGTTTCTCCTCTAAGCCTGAAATAAATGCTCTTTTTTTTTTTTTAACTTAAAAACATCAAGTCCCTGATCCCTTTTAAGCCATTTTCTAAAAGCTCTATTCCAGGAGAACTGCCACATCCATTGTCTTTTCCTAGAACAATGTGTCCTCTGGTGTCTTTTAAAACAGGGGCCTTGGGGTGCCTGGGTGGCTCAGTCGTTAAGCGTCTGCCTTCAGCTCAGGTCATG